AAGAATCAAGAAGAATTTGGGATAGCACTGACGAAGAATTCAACCAACGCCTGAAATGCGACGAGAGCGTCGAAAAATGGATTCGCCAAACAGCACACAAATTGTTTCGATACAAGAGTCTATAGGTTTCTCTATTGCAGTTTTTTTTTCTGTTTCATAATTTGCATAGAGAGAGTGGAACCTGATGACTGTAATTGTCAACCAGTAAATTTAATTCCTTATGGGTTCAAACATTATTTGTCGACTCTGTCTTTCATATGGGACTCCTTTCAAATAACGGCGTGTAAAGTTTGAAAAATCTGTCATACATCACGTAGGACAAAATTTTTTCCTGCTACGAGGCAGGACGAAGGCGCCTGTAAAGATTGGTAATAAGGCCCTATCTAGTAAAGTCAGTTACAGGAAACATAGCATGCATTGATTAAACGAGAAGAAATTCAAGGCGGCAGATGGAATATGTCGATCAAATTGTTATCAGAGTATACATATATCTTATTTGACGTTTTGTTGTGTGGTATAGCTGAGTATTTTTATGAGTTGTGCCGTATTTTACGAGCCCGTAAGGTGAGTCAAAGTACAAATAATGAGTTAAAAATACTCAGCGAGCAACAAAACGTTTAGCAAGAGATTTATTAACCAACACGCCAATTGTTATTTCAGTGTGGGCGAATTTCGCGGATATTTCTGGAGGACAAATATCGTGGGAAAGATTTCTATATAACCCCAGTTAACAATTGGTTCATGCTTTAGCGTGCACTATCGAGTTATGGAGCACGCGGGAAGTTTCGAGAGCACGAAAGAAGCGTAAGAGTTACCCGAGGCGATAGCCGAGGACAACTCTAGCTTCTTGAGTGCTCTCCAAACTTCCCACGTGCTCCATAACTCGATAGTGCACAGCTGAAAGCATGAACCAATTGTTTTAGAACATAGCCGGTGGAATTGTGCATCAAATGCGACGCGAAAAACGGACAACAATATCAGTTGAAGCGAACCGTGACGGCGCCGATGCCGAGTCTCCCTTTCCTTTGTTTTTCTCTTTTTCTGCCTCATTT